ACTGAAAGCATGTAATATTCAAAACTAATTCTTAAACATTCCATTGATCCATTTATGGGAAACTAGGTTGAGTCCTTCAGCATCTCCTTGATATTAGCAAAATGCAAACCCCCTGCCCCCCTGCAAGGAAGGGACCCCGTGGTTTCCTCGAGGGTGTGAGTCAGCCACAAGGTGAGGAAGGCCCGTGGCTCTCAGTTTTCATTGCCTTTCTGGTTTGAACTAAAATATGAATATGGGCCTCCCTGGTGGTGCAAGGGGTTAAGACACAACCTATGAAGCTCTCTAAAGCCACTGCAGCATGAATTCGATCCCTGTCCAGGGAGCTACCCACATGGCACAGCAGACCTCTCCTGACTCACCCGCTGCTCCCCTCAGCAGTGTATTTCAGTCAATCTGCCTATTCTGCTCCCAACTCTGTCTCTGGTGAATCCTCTCACCACCACCCCCGACACCTCTGGCCTATACCCCAGCTCTTGCATGCATAAATAAATAAATCTTTAAAAATAAAAAGTAAAGTATGAATATAAGGTTAGGGAAAGGGGTCAAGCAATGACATAGATTTTTAGGATTTTAAAAAACCCTAAACTTCTCTTCACTCTATGTTTCCATGCAGATCACTCACTTTCTCTCAGTTCTCAGAAATGCTCCGACATGGGTCCTGGCAACAACTGACCACTTGCTCTTAGATCACAGGGTCCTTGGAGATACCACAAATGCAGTGTGAGGTCATGCAATAGGACAGTGAGGCATTTAGGACAAGTTTAAAGCCAAGAGCACAAGGATCATCTTGTCAGCACACTGGGCCCTGGAGGCAGCTGTCATTTTGCACCTAAGGGGCAAGCATTCCTCTGGCCTGCGTTACTCTCTTCTCTTCCCTGGAAGACAGAGTGACAGGCACTCACAGGCAGGTGAGGCAGGTGAGGACACAAAAGGTAGGGGAGACACCTGCAGCCCTCAACTGGAACTCAGACTTCAGACTTGAATGTAGGTCAGGGAACAGAAATGGTGTTTTGGTTTTGTAAGTCTCAGAGCACAAGGGAATTTTCTCTGTTCTTTATGTATGGGAGGAGGCCCTATAAAAGTAAGCAGGAAGATAAGGGCCTTCTAGGAGCAATTCAGACTCAGACACAGAGTAACTGTGACCAAGGACTGAGTGACTTCATTTTTCTAAACCTCAATCTCCTGGGCTGTTCATCAGGAACCATGATATTCTGAAAATTATATGAAACAAAAAGTAATTGACCTGGCATCTGACACATAGTAAATGGTGGATAATTATAGACTTTGTTTGTTTTTAAAGGTGCCCCCATCCCTTGCAAACTGTACTGAAGGGTTGTTGGCCAGATCCTGGAGGGAGAGGACTCCACACAAACACGCTCCTTCTCTGACTTCTCAACCACAGAAAAGGCACAGATCTAGGCAGAGCGATGGCTGAGCAGCAGACACTTTGCAACTTCAATTTTCACTTCTTAAAAAAGACACACCAGGGCAAAAGTGACTCCAGGGGCTATCATTTACTGGGAGGAGGAAGAGGAAGGGAAGGCAGCCTCTCCCCTTCTCCCCGACACCCACTCTGAACCAGCCTTCTTTCCCAAACTAACTTACCCCCACATTAACAGAAGTGCCTTCATGCAGTGAAGGGAACAAACAAACCTGAAATAACCTGGTGCTGTCTTGACTGACTTTTAAAACAATCAACAAAGGTTAACACTTGCTTCCTAACTCATAGGCAATGCAAATTTCTGCCAGTCCTAAACATATCTTGGACCATAACTCCCCTTCTCGGCTCATCACTGTGCAGACAGCTTCCCCATAAGAAGTGATTTTTAAAGTCCCCCCTAGTGAAGGTCCAATAAGACTTGTCTGCTCCCTCTCCTCGGTGCATGTCACCAGTGGCCCCCGTCTGACCTGTCACATGCTGGTCAGTGTGGTTCCCTCTCCAGCTCCCCTGAGCTGGTCACACAACAGGCCAAGGTCACAGACCCATTTAGAAGCTCGAAGGAAGGAAAATGAGAACAGGATTAAACCATGGGCCAAATTCACTTAAAGGCCAAAAACTGAACAAAAGAGGTTAGATTAGAGCTACCGAGTTTTCCAGAGTAATTTAGACAGTACCTGGGTATCTATCTTGAAAGCTCTACAACTTCTCCTCCCATCTCCTGCTTTGGTGTGCAGTATGTGGCAGTATTCCCTGACATTCTAGGGTGGGAGAGCTCAGCCTGCTCTTCTATGCTGGTTGCATCCTGCAGCCATGCTCAACACACCCGGACACACCAACTTCCCAGCCTGGCCCCTGGATCTGTGCATCTCTTAGGGTAGACAGCAAGACAAACTCCACTGAGACAGTCCCACTTCCAAATACAGCATCTACTGCTGCTAAGATGATTCCTCCCAACTCTGCTGCCTGCTTGTCCTCTTGCCTTGAGGGATAGTGAAGGCTTGTGCAGAGTTCCAGATCCCTTCCGAGAGACCACAGGGGATTCAACTGTCCCCTCTGCAGGTGATTTAAGCAGAATCCAAAAGTCCGTCAGACCCTCAAGATCTCTAACCAACCACCGTGCCTGAATCCCTGCATCATAGGTTGAAGAGAACGGGAACTTTTAGATATAAGGCTTAATGGCTCTAGAGGAAATGATACATTACGAGAACAAGGCCTATTAGGATGGATTAAGTATTCAACCAGTATTTATTACTTTACTCCTTATTATCCACCACGGTATCTGTGCTGGATACAGCAGACAGGGCTCCTAGCCTCCAGGAGTCCACAGTCTAACCACAACCCCCCATAAATGATAGCTCCTCGGGGTGTATGTGTCAGAACAGAGATCTATAGCCAGTGCAGCTTGGCCTCAAACGAGGGTAACTCTTGACCACAGCCGAGGGTAGAATGCCGAGTGGAACTGGGCAGAGACTGACACATTGTAAGGGTGGGCCCGTGTGTGAGGGTGACGCTGGGGAGAAGGCAGAGCAGATGAGAATGGAAAAGGTTGCAAATGTTATAGGTCATTATCAGGGAGTTCCACTTAACACCCGTAACAACTTGCTTGTAACTACTAGGACAATGCCATAAACCTCATCTCACCTGATATCATGGACTCAGCAGATAGTGTTCCCACCCATACAGGACTGAACTATGTGTTCACAATGATATAACTGGAGAGTGCAGAATAAAATCAGACCCAGGCACCTGAGCCCCAGGCTCTTTCTAGAGCAGCAAAGCAGCCAGTGGTAACCAATAGGCACTCTTGAGTGGGACAGGGCTGCTGAGGCCAGCCTTGCTCAACAGCAAGAAAGGGGTTAAAAGCAGTGGTTCTCAACTCTAACTGTACATGAGAAATACTGGGCGAGGGTCTCCCTGATGGCGCAAGGGGTTAAGTCTCAGCACTATGAAGCTATCCACAACCACTGCAACACAAGTTCTATCCTAGCCCAGGGAGCTGACCCACACGGCACAGCAGACCTCTCCTGTCTCGCCTGCTGCTCCCCTCAGCAGTGTATTTCAGCAGATCTGCTTGTTCTGCTCCCTACTCTGTCTCTGGTGAATCCTCTCACCTCTGCACTGCTAGCCTGCACCCCATTTCTTTAAAAAAGAAATACTGGATGAGATTTGTTAAATGCACACATCCATGCCCTACTTCAGAGATGTGACTTCCAAAAAGCATAAGGCGTGCACTTGTTTTTGAATAAGCTACACTCAGTCGCATCATTTCTACCATAAAAAGCTGCTGATGGTGAGGACAAAATACAGAAAAACTCCCCAAACAGCAGAAGGCTATCCCTAGGAGCTTGACTGCCCAGGTCACTTTGGCAAAATCTCACTGTTCAGATTATTCCTCGGCTCATCTGCAGACACACCACCCTGAACACTCTGGATCTCAGCTAATTATTCGTTGGCTGTAGTTAACCCTTAAATTGTGGCTCTGAGTGGATCAACCCAAAACTCCAAATGAAAATGCAAGAATGTTTCAGAGAAGAGTTACTGATCATAATCCCAGATCAGAAAACCTAGAACAGCAAAAAGGGTTACCCTGCCATACCAAAATAAGTAAATAAATAACAAAATACCTAGTTTATTGGTGGGAACCCTTGCCAGTGGACTCGTTACAACTCCTACCCTTATCCTACTACACCCCTCAAAATGTCCATGTATACCTATGGTCTGGCCCCACTGAGGAAATAAAGTCACCTGAGAGCTGACCGAGGCCCATGGAGAAAGTACCTCAGGCTGTCACAGGGCAGTTGAATTGCACTGTTAGACACCAGCTGACCACACTGAACATCTGGGCTCCTTTCCTGACATGGGCATGGATTCAGATACAGGACTTCTAGATACCTGTCACATCTAATCTAATGGAAAGGCACAGAACATTTTTAAACCAACAGCAGATAATTGTAATGAAATGATTCTGGCCAAGAGGGCCCATTTGTAATAATGAATTCAAATCAGATTCATAGAAGCTATAATTCAGCCATAGTGAATACCACCTTCATTTTCCATATCATCTCTCTTCCAAGAAGGCAAAATAACTCAATATTCAAATAATTATTTTTACTTTTCAAGTAGCCCTGTGAAGTAGTTATGAGGAAGATAATATTGCCTCACTTATAGAAAATGAGTTTCATCCACGTTCAAATCTTCAGTGTCATCTTTGGCATATCACTTCCTAATGTCCCTCAATGCAATCAAAGACCTATCACATCATGCTGCTGTCTCCAAGGAGGAATTCATCCTTCTCTAAGCCAGGCAATTTTTCATTGGAAAATTCAAAGGAGGACCCAGCTTTCTCCATTCTGGTGCTTTTCCTACTAGGTCTTGGGCTTCCCATGTGACTTTATTCAGGATTTAGTAGCAAGCAAGGGATGCCTTACTCCTGGGTGGCAAAGCCACAGTGGAAAACCTCTCTGAGGCTGATGTGAATGGGGACATTTTTCTGTACATTCTGAACATTTGATGCATTCAGAACACTAAATTCCCACATTCTGAATTCCCAACAGAACATCGTCAAGGAGCCTAAAGAATACTCATAGCTAAGAAGTGCAATTTTTTAAGACCAAAAACAACACAAAATACATTCCGGCAGGACTATCAAGGTCTGAGACCATGGACTTCCAGAGACTAAAAGCACGCACTTTCCTTCTGAATGCTGACAAATAAGTTTTTTTTTTTTTTTTTTTTACTGAGATGGTCACATAGCTGCTAGCCAATAAACCAAGGATTGGTGGAAAACAAACAAAAAGAGGGAGAATGAATGTGGGACTCCCAGGCATTTGCAGGAGATATTGACATTATTTTAAGAAATATTGTGATAACAATGAAATCATAACCTTAAAACCTCAGGAAATATTAAGCATTAAGTGATGAAGGCAAGAAAAGAAGAAGAGAATGCATCATAGGCAAAATCATAGGAATTACATAAAGTAGGAAAGTAATAAAAGGTAAGAAAATAAGAGGTAAAATAAAGAGGCATTAAAATGATTTAAATAAGTGGATGATGTGCTGAGTTTCTCCATTCCAGGGCAAATTACACAGAAGAGAAGAAGCAAAATCAACACAAGACAAGGACTTACTTTTTTAAAAAATAAAGCACGCAATCAGGTAACAGATAACAGTTATACTTGGAAGATGTAAGTTTTATTTTCTCTACAATGCATAAAAAGCAACTATTCAGCTTTCCTTTTTTTATTCCCAGACCCATTACCAAGCCCAGCTGCTAGACATTAGAATTAAAGATCATGAAAACAGGCCAGCAGCTAATTAAAAAAAAAAAAAAAAGTAGATCAAAGCTGGCCCTCTGCTGGTGGAGCCTTCTTATTGCAGCCCAGAAAGCCAAAAGCTTAGGGATTTTGAGTTTCTAGTTCAACTTTCAGGGGCAGGAAATGGACAGAAGATTTTGGAAGGTTCAACTCTGAGACCTCTTTGCCCCCATTAGTAGATTGGATGATAAAGAGAGGTGCGTAGCAGAATCATAAACAGGCTTCACCCATCTGCATTTCATTTCCTTGGATAACATGCACTGTGGCCTGTGAGCTGCTACAAATAGTCATTCCATAAGTCACATCTCAGAGAGTGTACTCCTGAAACTTCTCCGAGGCAATGAAATAGGCACATTATTTTCTAGTTTGTCTGGAGGGTTTTCCCTCCTGCCATCAGGTCCATCTCTATTTTTACTCTCCCTATTCTCTACTTCATCTTTATTTTCTTTCTTACTCCTTCCTCCTCCTGCCCTGCCCCAATCCCCCAATTCCATGAGCCAGCAGACAGGGTTCAGGATCTGTTCTCCAGTTCCAAAGGAGGTTCAGCTACGAACCACCCAAACTGGCAAAAATCCATCGATAGTGCTTGGGTTTAAGAAAGGCTAGTCAGCATCCCAGAGGGCTTTCTTTTCTTCCCCAGGGAGACATCTGTCTAGATAAAGACAGAGTCCAACCAAGAGACTAGGAAGGAAACCCCTCCCTCATTGGTTTCTTGGAGAAGTCAGGTTCTTTGACTGAATACCCTAGGAGGAATGCTTTATTTTCACCATAACCATCAAAGTCACAGAGGCAAACGCGTTCACCCTGTGTATGCTGTGAGCCAGAGTTAAGCTGGGACATCCCTGAATCTGTCTCCTAGGACCAGAACTGCCTCATTAAAGGGATAAAAGATGATATCTGCTGAGCTGGTGGAAACTGGTGGCTGCATTTTTATTAAAGTCTCTGCTGCAGCAGGCCCAGTCCCCAAAGGTTCATATTCCAAGACTCTCTACCCCCCCTGCCTGGAGCATGTAAGTGTTTCTCTGTAACTCATTAAAGTAAAACAAAACGCTTTTCTTTTTGTGCTTTTCAGACAGGAATGATGTTGTTACATAAAAGCTACATGTCTCCTCTCCTTGGTCCCAGCCTGCAAAGATGAAACTGCCCTCATAATTTATAATAGGGGCCCCAGGAGCACCACACTGATGACAGGGATGGCTGCATCTTGAGCAGACTCATAAAGGGCCATGGCCCAGCCTTAGCAATTCCAGAATCTGACATTATAGGTATCTCTAGAACAGGGGTGAGACAGCCCATCTTGAGGATTATCTCTGCCTCATCACAGACCTTTCTGGCCTGTGAGAGAGCCACCAGGTTATCCACTCCCACCCCGCCCCATATTTCAACTCCGTCCATCTCAGGTTCTCCTCTTGGTGCTATGCCAAAAGTCCACCCAGCTATGCCATGGCCTCAGACACACAGAGTCCCAAACAAGGATTCAGGGTTCACTTGCAAGATCCTGAACCCAAAAAACCGAAGCAAATGACAAACCTGTCCAGGAGAATGGGTTGCCAGTTGCCACAGTAAGCAAGCGGCACCTCTTGTGCCTGCAAAAGCCCTCTGGGAGGTTCCCGTCCTCTCCCAAGAAAGCAAGTCAGTTCTCTACCCCATGGCCCCTACCCCTGTAAGCCCATCCTAGGGGCTCAGTCCCCCACTGAAGTATAGCTCCCTACCTGAGGGTGGCGCTCTCCCCCTGCCGGACCGTCACGTTGTCCATAGCTTTGGGGAAGGTGGCATCTCCGCTGCGCACCGGCACTCCTGTGGGTACAAGGAACAGCAGCCTGAGAGACACGACCACGAGGCACTTCCAGGGCAGGAACAGGTACCCACAGACCCCCATCCTCGACAGCCACAACTTCCCAGAACTCCGGAGCGGCGCGGTCCAGGTCCCCCGCCCCACTCTCCAGCGGGTCTCAGGAAGTGGTGCGGGCAGAGGAAAGGGACGGAGCTAGCCAGAAGCAGGGAAGGGGAAGAAGAAAGGAGTCCAGGCTCTCCGGAGTCTAAAGATCCTTCCTCAGCTCCTGCCTCAGCTTTCCAGTCTAGCACCACCAGATGCCCCCTCCTGCATCCAAAAAGCGCTTCCTGGACGCTCCCCTGGGGAGCAGGGAGGCAGCCGGGAAGGGAGAGGAAGAAGGAAGGTGCAGGGATGAAGGTCACAGATGGCTCTTTCTCTGCCTCTCTCTTCAAGATGCTACTTTAAGATTCAGTTGGGCACGTTCAGCAGAGGTCTGGCATCAAAAGTTTATAACCCAAAGAAGCGAGGCAAGTGTCTCGGACATAAAGGAGATGCATCAGAAGCGGCTGCTTCAAGGAGAAAATGTTTTATTAGCTCACACCTATGGACAGATAGATTTAGACGCCAGCTCAAGTCTCAGAGCCGGCCCCCAAAGGCGCAAAAAAGTTCCTCCGCGGGCACCCGCCGCCGGCTCAGCCCGAGGATCCTCCGCGGCCGGGCACGTCCTCGCCCGCAGCCCGGGGGCGACTGGCGGCCAGCCCGGCCCGCGATCGCCAGCCGCGGAGCGCCGCCCGGCGCAGGCTCTGGGAGCTCGGGGAGCAGCGCGGACGGCGCCCCCGCCTCCTCCGGGGACGCGGCACGGGACGCGGGGACGCGCGGACGCCACGCTCAGCGGCCGCCCCCGGCCTCCGAGCCGCCTGCTTCCCGGGAGCAGCCCCGACGCGCGCGGGCCCCGACCGCCGGGGTTGTCATGGCAGCAGCTCCATCACTGACCGCCACTTTCTCCCGTGCCGGCGCCGAGCGAGCCGAGCGCGAGGACTGCGCTCATCCCGGCGGGCGGGCGGGCGCGAGGGCACCGGAGTCCACCTTAACCCCGCCGCGCCAGACCCTCCCGCGTGGGCTGGGCGCCGGGCGGCGGTGAGGCGGCAGCTCCCCCCGAGCCGCTCTCCCCCTGACACCCCACGCAGCCGAGAGAAGGCTGCACCCCTCTTAGTGGCTCGCTGGCGGGGGGTCGGAAGTGGGGGCGGTCTGAGGAAAGCAGCAAATTGAAAATTGACACTCGCAACCTCCCCTCCCTGCCGCTGGAGCAGAAGTTGCCAAACCCGCCTTGGAGAACTGAACTATGTTTTCCAAGCCGGGAGCTGCAACTGTGTGCGAGTCCATGGTTCTGCTGCCTCCAGTATTGGGCAGAGCAATGCTGAGCCTTTGCAAAAAGATAGACTGTGCTTCCCCACGACCCGCCTTGAAATCCTCATGGCCCTCCACTCTTTTGGGCTCTCAAACTGGCAGATCTGAATCCTTTCCTATGGCACAATGTGCAAGGAGTCCCTATCCTGGTCCATGCTTGTTAACCAAGTTTGCTCTTGCAAAAAAGGAAGATCTAGGGAAAACACAGGGGGGGTCCTAGAAAGTATTAGGACTGATTTTCATGAATTCCAACTATGGCTTTATGATCATGACAGGACTCGTCGCCATCACTGAATTGGGAGGGGGCTTTCCAGGGGCATTCTTACAGGCCAGGCTTCGCTTTGGGTAGGGGGCCAAGTGGTGGTGAATGGGTTAATTTATTTCACTTCTTAACCCACTTGTGAGCTCAAGCTTTCCTGGAGCCGGTCATGACATTTATGTGTTTGTTTTTTCCATTTCCCCGGCAAAAAGCACCCCTGTTTTGAGTGGTTGTTACCCTTGCATCATCATTAAGTGGTTGCCATGTGTCTTTGCTTTACTGCAGGCTTTCTCACATCCTTTTGTTAGATTAGACTGGGCTCTGAACACTTGTTACCACGAAATTTAATTCAAAATATAAGCAGTAAACACTTATCATTTATTACCTCAGTTACTGAAGGCTATAAACACACTTCCTGCTCTCAGTTATGAGGGACTGAGCACAAATAAATACTACCCCAACCTAACCCCTTATTGTAAATTGGTAGCCCACATACCATTTTAGGTCTAAGGGTTTTAATTTAGAGCATCATAATGGAAAAGAAAGAACAACATGTCACTAGTCATGTTGTGTATGTTGTATATGTTTTTAATAGAGTGGAAATATGTATCAGCTACTTTCCAGAAAGCACACATTAACAAAGGCAGGAGTAGGACAGAGGACGCATCCCATTCATTTTGGGCTTCAGGCTGAGCAAAGCAGTGATGCAAGAGGCAAGGCAGAGGACTCAGAAAGCAGACACATTATTTATTTGGGGATACCCACTGGTTTTCATGACATGCATGTTTCCTGAAGACTTGAGTGCAGACCTGGGCTTCCTGTATGCACAGAAATCCTCCCAGCCCTGAGATGCTCTTGTCCATTATCACCAACTAGAAAGGATTTCCCTTAATGATTTAACCTATGTACAGCTGATGAGAATGTGCTTATGGTTTTCTTCAGTTACAGAGTTTGTGTTTTGAATGCTGGGGACAGCAGCAACGGAGTTGGGTTAAACTGCTGTGGAAGTCAGGCTGTAGCTAACTCTTTGTGGCTCCTACTGATACTGGCCTCAATGCTTCTCAGGACATGCAAATGGGGCAGTTGCTTAATCCAAATCAATTCATGACAAGCTACTCAAGATGGGAAGAATTATTGCAGAAGAACAGAAAGGAAAGAGCATGAGATTCCAGGTGGGTAAACAATAGCTGGGACAGGCAAAGAAGGGAGACAGAGATAGCAGAAAGTAAGGCAATATGTATTCTCAACAATGTGTAATAAATCCTGCTCTTGGGAAAGGACTATACCAAGTATCTGCTTTTCTCAAAGTCTGCTCCCTCCAATCATAGGTCTCTGGAGTTCTAGAAACAAGACCTGGGTCTATTCTCTTCTCTAAGTTTGCCTCCTATTTCAATATTTGCGAGTGAATAAGTTAAACTCAAGGGCTAATGATTGGAAAAATAAATGCAGATTCTGATCTTCATGACAATCTACATCTATAGTGTTGTGGGGGAGATTTTATTCATTTGGAAGACATTGCTAAAAACCACTCATATAATAGAAGGTCAAACCAAATTGAAATAAGAGAGAAAAAGGGGTGAGGTTCACAATGAACAAAGACTTAGGTAGTTTCTCATGGTAGTATACTATGAAATACTGGCTTGAGTAAAATGATGGGAGAGCCCAGAAAAATGTCTCTTGGATATGTGACATCATCTATGAAGTTAATTATATGAGGACAGACAAGTGATGATTAAGAATTTTGGTTCTGAAGTGGGCTCTTTAGATACTGACTTTCAACACTTCAGCTGTGTGACAGTACCAAGTAATATCTCTCTCAACAATTTTATATGGCTTGTGGGCAACTTGACATGTCCTCAAGATTTTGCTTTAAGATATGTAAGATAACAGTCATGACAATAACTACCTAATAATAAGAGATGATGAAAATTAGAAGTCACCTAAGATCAAAATTGGTTATTAACAAGGTTTCATTTTATAATGGAGGGACTGACATAGCAAGGGTGACTTGGTAATTCTGGACCCTGGTAATTCTGGATCCAACTGAAATGTCTGAATTTATCTAATGAAATTTGTATCCAGTTGTAAAAGCAATTTCAAGCTGTGTGTTATTCATAAATAAAGAAAATGTACAGCTTGTGTTTATCTGAGAGAAGATTGTACCCAGCTGTTCTGTGTGTGCATTAGGAAGAAACATAAAGTAAGAACCCCATATATAATGCATATTTATATGTCAGAAACCCACCTAAATCTGTGAGGACCCCATGGGGTGGAATGACTGAGAAGGCAATGTGGCTCAGCCCAAAGGAGTTGGCTCTCTCTTGGGGTCCTCTGGATTTGGAGGCACAGTAAACCAAAAATGCTTGCTGGTGGACAGAAAAGTAAGAATCAACTGAGCCTCAAACTTTCAGACTTCAGAAGGTTCCAAAAATTGGCAACACATTCCAGAACACAAAACTATGGAGGAGACACAAATATCATCTTCTGTAAGCCCAAAGCAAGACCATGTAACAGTTGCTACATGATCAGCGCTAAACCTGAACAAGCCACTTCATTTCTCCTTGTCCCTTCATAGCTTGGGTCTTCTAGTCAATTGCTAACATGAATCCAGAATTCAGGTCATTTGGATCTCAATCTTTTCCCATCGTAGGCCACTCCACCTACTTTCTAATTCAGGCCTCATTGGTTTGACCTAGTAAAAAGAACTGCTATTGGGCATGAATCAAATTCATGCTGTGTATCCCAGCTCTGCCACTTACAAGTTCTGTCATCTTGGGCATATTGCCTATCATCTCTGGGTGTATCTTGTAATAAACAGGGTAAATAAGAGCTACTTCATGGGATTGCTGTGAAAATTCAGACAGAGAACTCACGTGGGGGCTCATGGTAGCAATCAGTGATGGTGAAACCTCAATCCCTCTTTTCTTCTATGTGAAAATAACTGAAATTGACCAACCAAAAAAAAAAAAAAAGAAAGAAAGAAAAGAAACCCAACAACAATACAACAACAACAACAAAAAACCAAAGGACTTTTACTGTAACAAAAGTTACAATACAAAGCACTAAAATAAACTTGTCAACAGAAAAAGATAAGGCATGCTAGACTTGCATTGTGAAAAGATATATGAGATTTATGAACTACCAATAGATAGAGAAGCCAGTTATCAACCCCATTATCCTACACTCTTTCAAAGTGATTGTATATGTGTGTGTCTTGCTCTTCCATGATTCTTCTGCTCTGGACTACAATCGGGTGCAACATAAAAACACCAGCAAATAGGGATTGTGCTCTGCAAAATAAGCCAGAAGGAACAGTTAAAATATCTAATGGTTTCACTTACAGGAGGAATATAGGGAAAACAAATTAAGGATCAGGAAAAAAAATAATAATAAATAAATAAAAATTAACGAGCAACTATAAATCAGAGACATTCTGCAGGGGAGGAGGTGGGATAGAAACAGGAGAGGGACGAGCACAAGGGACTATGGCGATGGTGCACAGGTGAATTGGTGGTAGGAATTTTATGGGGACTACACCTGAGAGGAAAAAGCAAACATTGCATGAAAATGAACAATGATGTAAAATATATATTAATTAAGTAAAACAAAAATAGTATTCAGTAAAAAGTGTGAGAAATTACAGTTAAGTATAATTTTTAAAACAGTTA